ACACACACACACACACACACACACACACACACACACACACACACACAGTCTCCCTTTGCGTCTGACTCACACACGCCAGCTCTCATGGGACTCTGAGGGGGACAGACGGTTGACCCCGAGGCTCTTTGCACCTCATTTCACTTTGGGATCTTTTCAACTTCATCAGCATCAACATGACTGCAGATATTCATTTCAAATGAGCCAGCATTGTGGCGACATGAGAAAAAAGCACTCATTAGGGGAGCTAAAAGCATAATTTGGACCAAAAGGTTAGCTGTCTGAATAATATAACTTATGGTGAGGCAACATGATGATAAATACCATGAGACAACAAATGTGTGTTTCTACACTTGCCTTATTCTTTAATTCTCTAATTTCATTGGGGCAATATTGCATAACCATAAGCATAGCATGTACATACATATACACATCTATCTTATGTACTATGTCTGGATGATACTCGAGTACCTCAGGAAGAGTCCTGGTGGGGAGCTGGAGTCGATGACCAGGACTGTGAAATATTCCTCTGACTCTTTACTTATAACAGGAATATGTCAATGTTTATTTATGTCTCATTTCTTTTTACAGCTTGCAAACCAAATGAAACATTCAGTCTCATTCAGGGACCTGGAACATATTATAACTCTGGCAAAGTGGGTACCCGGCAAACATTAGCTCCCGATCCATTTTAGATCGTGACGACTTGATGAGCACTACATCTGGTGAGCATAATGCACCATAGAGAGCTGCAGGGATGACGTATATCAGGCCAACCACGAAGTTAGCTTCACACTGGTTATCTCTACAAAAAGTCGATGTGATTCTTCCATTGCATTTTGGATTATTGCTTGATTAACCTCTGTGACAAACATTTATGAAAGTTACACGTTTTGTTCAGCAAGATAACCTTCACAAATTAACACCACTTTTATGGTTTTAGAAGCGTGAATGCAATTATCAGAAGTAAAGAAACTACACTACAGTCACATGACTTCTCATCCACCAGTAAGCTGAAGGTGGTCGAGTCTTTGGCGTGATGATGTTTAGTAGTCTCCTTTAACTACTTCTTAGAAACCGCTAAAGTTACTGATGTATTTTATATCGTAGAACAAAACATTAACATCTCTTAAAATTGGGTTAACCACTCTTACAAAGTGACCTGTTACGTCAGCAGAGAGTTGCATTGTGGGTAGTTTGTAGGCTTAATGTTGCTAGGGTTTCGTCGAGTGTGTTTAGTGAGAAAGTTAGAACCGGTCAGCACGATGAGTGTTTAGTTATCCCAGTTTAACAAAGAGGAGCTACTTGTGGTTTGTGTAGCGTGTTTTGCTACAGAACAAATCTTCACAGCTGAAACAGACGAAGAACAGAATCTTCTGACGAGCAACCAAGAATTTTCCAGCGTAACTGAATGTCAGGATGAGGAACTGGAGAAGAAAATGCTAATCTGCCAGAAAAAAACAAGACAAATGAAGTGAATGCCTGCTAGCGGCTCAGATTTGGGATTTATGCCGACTCCATACAGGACCAGACTGATATGGGAGCTCTTCACTGGTTAATGCCGATTGTCTTTGAAATTCTAACATGGATATTTAGAAAGGCCAAGTGACTTTAGTTTGACAGATACTTTCTTCTATATGTTCATGTAAATGTGACAATGTGTGTGTTTGGTGGAACTGAAAGCAAGCCATGAATGGTGGTTGGTTTTCTCTTAATGGACATAAGAGTCTTCAATTACGGGGTTAATGCATTGTACTCCAACTTCATCAGAGGAAAAGGAAACGCATCGAACTCCCACATACACACTATCCCTGAGCTAACACACACCCTCATGCACCCAAACACACACACACACACACACACACACACACACACACACACACACACAGAGATCATACGGGACCAGCCAGTAGGACACGCCCTCCTCAGGGGACCTGCCTGGCCGTCTCCACCCATCTGCAAAGCAAGCATGCAAATCTCCCACGAGCGTGTGTGCAAGTGAGAAAGAGAGCAAAGGGGGAGTTGGGGGGTTGGTACATGGGGGGGGAGGGAACCGCACCACACCCCCACACCTCCCATACCCCATCATTACTGTCCCAAAGCATCCACGAGGAGAAGCGGTGCCGTGTCCTCTTGCCAGTCCCTTTTTTTTTCCCTTCCTTCCATCTCCGTCTCCGCCGCCAACCCCCACCCACGGCCCCCAGATAACACCATGCAATTAGTGGCTCCCTGGTCCCTTCTCATTCACTCCCTTTTTCTTTACTTATACACTTCTATCTACATCTCTGTTTAGGTCTGTCATCGTCCCTCAGTACGCTTCTTTCCGTCCGACTTTCCAGTGGCGTATTAGAGATCAGAGCGACTGCAGACACACCCAAACCGTCTTCCCACCAAGCAGCGCGGCCTTATCCTACTCTTTCTGACCCTCCTTGTTCTCTATCTATCCTTTCCTTTGCCCCTTGAACTAAATTGCTCTGACGAGCGCACCGGCGAATGCAGCATTGTAATTGTGTTAACATGCCGATGTGACCACTTCCTGTCTGGCAAAGCCAAACTTCCTGCTCCCAAGGGCATCCTCTGTTGGCTGAAAAATGCTTTTGCCATCTATGTCGTTGTGTTTTTAGGATGCTTCTTACTTTAAAGCTGCAATACGTGGTTTTGTTTTTGGGTCACTAGGGGGCAGCTGAGACAAGCTGTGAGGGGGAAGCTGAGCAAAACTCGTAGGAGTTGCTCGTCCATAAAATGAGAATAGCTGGTCCACCTTAAAAGCGGGACCATCTTCAGAAGTTGTGGCTAACTCCGGGGCTAACCCTCTTCACATTAATCAGCAGCAGGTAGCAAGAGAGCCGGGAGAAATGTCACATTTATTTATTCACAGAGATGGTTGGGGGGGGGCAGACTGGCAGCTGAATAAAGTCATGCGGCTGCTTTTGTAAAAAGACTAAACCCAAAACACAAGTCGCCATCTCTCTGAGCTCAGCTGCCGGTTACACCAAAGAGAGACTGGTGGCACGTACCGTGCACTGCAACACATCACATCAATACAGCATCGTAGAACGCACAGCGTCTGTATTCATGACGGTGTGGAAAATCCCACCATGCTGTAGTGGTGTAACGGACCTTTGTCGATCCGTACGCTCCCCATTACATTGTGAACAACGAATCAGTTGAAATTGAAAGCAGGAGAGCTGGTAACGGTGGCAGCACCTCGGCTAACGACTAACGTACGTAGGTTCCAATCAGTTACATTATGATGCATTCATGCTCTGTATGATAAGATTTACAATTGTTGATGGTTACGGTTGAAATTATTTTTGGGACGGTGGCATGGTTGGTGAACTCCTGAGGGAGGAATCTGTCTCTTTAGCTGCTAAATGCTCCACCAGCTAGTCTCTAACGGAGTCTGTCTGCTGCTCAGTGGCTTTTTAGAGCTTTTCACCTCGTCTTCACATAGTCATTGGAGAGATTGTTATTATACAAATACTGATTATAGACACTAAGTACATCCAGGTGATAATACTTAAGTAGGATTTAGAATGCAGAATTTGTACCTGTGGTGACATGTTATATTGGTCGTTGTATTTAAGTAAATGATCTGAAAGCAGTGATTTTTATCTCTCTCACACACACACACACACACACACACACACACACACACACACACACATCACCTCAAATGTGAATGTTCACACAGGAACCCACACTAATAACCTTTATGATATACTCCACTCAGTTGTATTGACTGTCTTAAGTGACGACAAAGATATGCACATACACTCCACTATTTTCATTCAGCTGCAGTTACTCCCACAGCTGGAAAACTGCTCACACGGCAAGAATCATGTCAACACACTGCACATCATCTGTTCCTCTGCACTAATAGTACAGACACACACATTCTGCCTGCTCCTCACCTGTGGACGTAGTGTAGCCGGTGAACAGAGTCGATGGCCAGCACCATCTCAGCCAGGTAGAACTTGGCCATCTCCTCCGGCAGCCGGTCCTCAAACTTACTGAGCAGAGTCAGCAGATCTCCACCCACATAGTAGTCCATGACCAGGTACTAGAGAGACCAGGAGACGGACAGAGGGAGTGAAAATGAGACATAAATGTCTGGAGCCGTGTTTCCATTAAATTGTCAAGCAAACTTCTAAAATGTTGCAAAAAAAAACAAGTGAATTAGGCAAGTTTATTCAGCTGGTTTGGAAATAATAAACTCTGCCACAGCATAGTTTGGTCAGAAGTTGGCACTACAGGCTACGCGTGTCTGCCAGTAAACAAGGAAGGAGAAGTTGTCATGGTCATCTCACCATCAACGAGAGAAATTCGTTTTTTGTTTTAATTGGTTCTTTCATGCAAGCTAGTATTAATCATGTTTTATGTAGTCGGGAGATGAAGACAAGCATCCGTACGTTATGGGAACGTCCAAGAAGATGCCGACAGCAGAAACAGCAGATCGGTCAGGTGAGATAAACATTTGCTAATTTTGAACCCAGGTGGAGGGCGGAATTTAAGCACAGTGTGAAACAGTGAGATGATTGATGTAGAAACAATATCAGGAAGTCACACACACAAGGAATAAGTCCATCCTATTTTCTCACAGTGTCATTGCTGCAGAGGGCCTTGTGAGGCAGCCAGCACCTAAACGCTTCTTAACTTTTGAGGGATTTGCTAAAAATAGACGGCTGGACGGGCAGTGGTGTATATTTTTAAAGCCTTTGGGGAGAGTCCCGGGTAAAGCATTTGTTGTGAGATTGTGGGAGCTGGAATGATAAGCAGTCCTGGCATTTGAACTCGAGGTCACACAGAGAGGGAGAGGACAGACTGTCAGGCTAGAAAGCAGCCAATGAGAGCGAGGCAGAGCTTGGCCCACAACCAGTCAGCGAGCTCCAAAGTCATTCTTTTGGTCTTTTATGTAAATGTTATTTTGGACGTGTTCGCTTCTGTTGCCCAATCTCCTGCAGTTCCATTCTACGTGTTGTGCTTTGTGGTGAGAAGTGAATGTGGTGGTCAGCGTCTGGCAGGTCCCCAGCCATCATGCAGAGGTGGTACTGTTCTCTATAAACCAACTGGCAGGTGGAGCTACTCGGTGGAAGACTGTGGTTGTAACTTTGGAAAGTACCAAAGTATGAATGTGCTGAAATATATGAAGTGAGGCGGGGTGATCGTCGGATAAGTAAAAAGGTAAAAAGTTCACAGAGAAAGGTTAAAAACCTGGCAGAGGGATTCCTGGAAATACACTTATGAAGGTTGGTGGAAAAAACAACAACTAGCTGCTCATGAGGACACACACATTCAGAGTGGAGGAGACAGAGAAAGCTCTGTTACCAGATTATTGTCATCCTGGAAGGCGTAGTGCAGGGTGGTGATCCACTGGCAGTCCCCGTTTACCAACACGTCCCGTTCCTCCCGGAAACACGCCGTCTAAAGAAAGATGCAGCGAACACGTTACTTCATAAACAAAGACTTTATAGTAACCATCTGAGGTGTGGATTCAAGTCACATGACTCAGACTCAAGTCACAAATTTAAAGCCGAATTTCAATGGAACGCTTTGTAATAGAAATCAACACCACATCCAAATATGGCCCCCTGATCTTGTACTGGGAAGGACAGAATCTGAATGGCAGTATTTAAAAATACTTTATGGGACTTTGATGTTCTGACAATTACATGCTTAGCGTGCACCGTCTCCAGTGCATCTGCTGCTCTACATTGTTTCCCATGTCGAGGCGTTAGCACACACACAGTTTTAGCCTGTGACGTTTGAGGCATGAAGATTGAAAGACCCAAGGGAGCAACAGGAATGTCAGACTGTCAGGAAGAGGTCGATGAGAAAAACATGCATCAGCAGCTCGTGCAGCAACATGTTCCGCAAAGCATTTAGCGATGAAGGCCTGATTTGAGTGCGGATGGTTAATCATAAATCGTCTTCATCACTTTCTTTACAGGTCCCCCCCCCCCCGTATCGAAAAGCACCCCAGCAAAAGCTGGTGAGCGGCGCTCACCTCAGCTCGCTTCAGCATCTCCCACTTGTTGAGGATCTTCATGGCGAACACCTTGTCGGTGTTTCTCACTTTTACGACCGCAACCTGCACAGAGGAAAGAAGAGTTTGGCGTGTTAATGACACGTTTTAGTCGTTTGTGTGACAGCAAAGTCAAACAAAGAATGTGACCCGTGTTAAAACCACAGACCAGCAGCAAAAATACCAGACTGATGCAATAAGCTCCTCCCTGAAGCAAGCAGAGATGGACACGATGGTATATCACATGTGATCATATTTCACAGCTCCAAAAACAACAAGCATACAATTTAGAAGTGAAACAAAAAACCCTTAAGTCTTCATGAGTACCAACGATACCAAACTACAAAAAACAATACAGATTACAATTTTCCTTCCTTGAAAAAGCTGTGTTGTAGTAAAACAGTACAAGAACCAGAGATCATCTCAGGACACCACCCTGAATGAAAGAAGTTGAAAAGGAAGAGTAACAGAAGAGATGATTGGAAAAGGACAGGAGGAGGAGAAAGAGGAAACGAGATGGGAGGAAGGAGAAGCGGAGGAGAAGAAAAGGACAGAATGTAGAGAAGAAGGGGAAAGCAGAGGAGAGCCAAGCAGGGGACAGGAAGTGACCACGGACACTAAAGTCCTCCCCTAAAAGGCCAACAGATGCATTCCACCTGGATCCACATTCACACTCTTAACGCACAGCGCTGGATACTTAAATGTGATTCATGCTTCCTGCTAGCAAAGTCTGCATTATGAGCGGAAAACTAGAGCACTGGTCTAATCACTGTGTGCAATCATTTGTAAATGAGGACGAATCCCTAGTGAATAGACAGCTTTGGGGCAATACATGGGTATTATCTCGATGACATGAGACTCGATATTGTCTTAGATTTTAGTTGATTAGTCAACTTGTTTTGGTCCTAGTTTACTAAGATGTGTCCATTAGTCGTTCTTTATGCTTTTTTCACGCTGAATGACATCTCTGGAAAACACAAGAAACTTTCGTTAAACAGATCCTTTGATTAAATCAACTAATCTATTAGTCAACAAAATCATACGATTGTTACTGGACTAACAAATTCTTTGGTTGAGGGCAGCCCTAGATTTTGGATTTTATAATATGGAAATATGGCAGAAGTGTTGCCTTTTCCTTGTTTTAAAGGCTGCATCACGGTACAGTGATGTCATCGTCACTCACCAGATTTCTAGCTGCTCTATTAGTTGCCTCTACCCACTTAGGCCCCGCCCTGTTCAGAGCGAGACGCGTCGCTAGAAACGCGACGACCGCAAAACCATTGTTTTCCCTTTCACACTTTCAAACACATCATCATCACACAGGACCCATACATCCTATGTATTTAGTATATGTATTATATACATTTAATACTGGCCACATTTCAGACCTCCTCTGGCTGAAGCTGGAGAGTTGAACTTGAACCCACGATGTGATGGATTTGCAAAGTGAGGTAAATGCTGGAGATTTACGTAGCTACAAGTGTTAGCCTGTCGGTTAGTTTCTCACCATCACCACCTCAGACCGCTCAGCTGTTCACACTCTTGTGTTGTTCAGCATACCCTTCTTGTTCCGTCTTAACATCATAACTGCCAGCTCTCCCTTCACTGATAACTGCCATGACAAACTTCCCCAGCTCCGGCTTCACGTTTGGCCAAAAAAGGAGCTGCACGAGCTGCTGTGACAAAGCCCTGCAAGCCCACAGCCAAAGCACACGCTCATGCAAACTCACATCCTGGCTAATTTCTTTTAGCCTCCTTCATATTCTTGTAGGATTCTATTCATTCTCAAAGGAGATGTCCATTTTTCTTTTATTTGGCCTTTTTGATGGTTAATTAGAAAATATGCATAAGTTGGAAGGGGGAAAAAAGCAACAAAAAAAAATACAAGCAAGTAAACAGACAGGAATTTGTAAGAGCACTGCACATGCACACGCACACCTACACGCACACGAGAAGTGAAACAAACACACACACAGTGCAACAGAGGGGTCTGTAGTCTATTAAATGAGCTGGAGAATGCTGCTAATGCAATACAATGATAACATTCCTGCAGTGTTTGGATTTCCCCTAGTGATCCCTCACCAGAGGAGAAGAGGGACGGAGGAGGACAGGGGGGCTGTTTTTGTCTTTTTCTCCATCTCTCCTTTCCTCTCTCCACTGCTCCTTCCTTCATCTTGTCCTTCCTGTCCAGCCTGGTGTCTGCTGCAGAGCTCAGGAAAGGACTAAGTGAGAGTTTACCTCACTATTCATGGATAAAAGTATTGTACGCGTTTACTTTGTGTTGTGGTTTCCGTTGTTTTTTTTGCCAGCGGAGAGGGTCAACTGAGGCTTCAAATTTGGTTTTATCAGTTTGGAAACAAACCACAGCAGCTGATCTAACTATTCCACAGGCCAAGTACTAAGAGTACACCAGTTATCTGCTGAAATTGCTACAGCACCTAGACACTTACAACAACAATCATCAAGGTGCCATACACCTCAAGCAAGGCTAGCCTTTGAGAACAGAACCTCTAAAGGCCGGTTTAAACTCCCGCATTGAATTGAAGTGACCATTACAACTGTGATTGGTCCTCTTGGTAGCATCTCATTCCCTCCTCTATGGGCTGCTCCTGTACGCACCGTCTCCTCCGACGGCTTCTCTCCTGCAGTAATGTCAGCTAAAGGACCCACCGGGCCGAGCACCACTAGGCCCTTTTGCGTTGGTGAGGAGGCGACCGAGTCCTACTGGGGCCGGTCCTCTCAGAGGCAGGAGGGCGGTACATTCATCGGACTTCACGCGCCCGTCTCCCTGCCTGCTGCTGACAATGGGAGGATGAAATCAAAACATCCTGCACTCCAGATCTGTCTCCTCCCTCCCTTCTGACTCAAGTATTTGTTCTGTACTTTGCTTTCCTGTGTCTGTCCATCTGGGTTAGTCTCTATCTCTGTCTCTTTTCAGCTCTGTGTCTCTCTGTTCCCATGCTTCAGGCTCAGGTCTGGGCTCAGTTTTCTTCAAAATCTCCAAAACTGACGACACAGAAAATGTTATAAATTTCCACGAGGCCTTCCCAAAACACCGTAGGTCAGACGTAGAGGTGTGGAAAGGACTTGATTCTATGATTAACTCTGCATCGACGGACTGACATTTGGTTTCATTTCAGCTCAGAGTGAGTCTTCACTGCGTTTTGCTTTCATTTAACATTTATTTTTTACAATTAACACTTGAAATGATGAAGGCACTTGCAAAGGACAAGTTAAATAACGATTCCATCAGTTCTGGGAGTGTGTGTCACACACACACTCCGCATTATGTTTTGTGTTTATGTACTGAGGAGGCTCACATAGATGCCGGTATTGAAAAGACTTTTATATGATCGAACGTTGGAGTCTGCTGTTGTTGAGTTCAGGTGATTCTGACTACTTGTATGAATTTTAGAGAACGTAGCCATGTGTGCAGTGATATGGGATGAGATGCATGGAGAACCTAGTGGAGTCATGAGGCCGGTGAAGATTCACACCTCTGGTCACATGGCTGTTATTACAGTCATCCAACTAGAATACACAATGGTGAAAAAACTGGCAGTGCGAGGACACCGGCTTTATGCAGGAGTCTTGGCTGCAGGACCACAGTACCTGTCCCTCCGACATTCCCCAGCTTTGACATTACCTGAAACCCAGTGACACATGCATGCAAACCTCCCTACGGAAGTGCATTGGAGCAAAAGGGAAGTAAAGCAAACTGCATGATTTCACTGGCACACTGTTCCTGGGTTAAATGTGAAAGAAGAACTACTTTGTTTGTTTTTTTCAAGCTGCAAGTAGAGTCATGCTCATGCAGCAGACCAATACGACTCACTGCTGCTGGAATGCAGCAGAAAGTGATCCACCATCCAACACAAAACCACTTGCTCTTCATAACTCGGGTATTAAGGTCTAAGGGTACAACACAATACAGCCGGTTAATGGCAGCTATTGTCACAAAGATGTCTCCTTTCAAAACAGACAAATAGACAAAAAGAAAACACCAAATTAACCCGTAACACCTGCTTCTTGTCCCAAAGAGAACAAGAGGAAAAACCAAATTGCGGGTTCTCAACGTGTTAGGTAATGGATTGCTGCTTGGTTAAGGAGAGTGTAAAAACCAGAAAGTGCAGTACCTCTCCGAACGCTCCTCGTCCAATCACCTTCAGGATCTCAAAGTCCTCCTTGTGCAGGCGCATCTGCTTCACTTTGGAAGTGAAGGGTTTGGCTGTAGGGAGAAGAGAGACACACTTTAGGCAAAGAGGACAAATGTGAAGTCAGAACACAACAGGGCAAAGTCTCCCTACGACATCGATAGTGAGATGAGATGCTTCGGGGTGATCGGTCGATCACATCGTACGTTGGTTTAGCAGTGGGAAAAAAGAAAACCTTCGGTGTCTTTACAAGTTGGTGGAAAAAGAAAATCAATCAGAATTGGGTGTTGATGTGTGAGAAAAGAGCATAGAGCTGCACTGCAGGTCAGACACCAGACTGAAGTTACTTTGACTGTCACCATTGAGTCAAAGCTCGTTTGATGGTCATATTGACCAGCTGGACTTGTTTTATCAATAGCTGTGATCAGACAGGAGATGGAGGTCAGTCAACCAATTATCACAAGCTTCATCACGGTACTAAATGCATTCTTTGGACAGTGATAAAGTATTTGCTGATCTCATAAAGTCTGCCACAATACATTTTGATTGATTCAATTTAATTCAGAGGCCTGTGATCGATATGAGACAATACCATATGCCCAATTTATACATTCATATAAACTCACAAAAAGCATCTAAAATATGATTTGACTATTTCATCACTGGGCTCTTGTAGACATTTAAATGAATAACAATCTATTCTTCTTACTAAAAAAGTAAATAAAAATAGTCCTGTTACTGGTGAAAGCTGGTGAGGGGCTCGTCACGAAAATGAGAATATAAGCAGGTCCACCTTAAAGGTCGGTCCACCTTAAGTAAGCAGCTGTGAGCCTGGGCTGTTGTCGCCAAGTTCGGGGCTAACCCCCCCTTCACTTTAATCAGCGGGTGGCAAGCAAGACACAGGAGCTTAGCTTGGATCTGGAAGGTTTGTAACATTCATTCGCCGACAAATACATTGTTCACACACTGCTGCGTTCACATTACATGGGGGAAACCCTGAATATAATTTACACGTTCCTCTTATCAGCACATTCCTCTGATCCGTCAGTGGACTCAGATGGAAGGTTTTGGGCATTTTCTGTGTCAGGAACCCAAAATGAAGAAATGTCCCCTAATCCTATGAGCCAGGCACACGGAAACATGCTTGTGCTAGTCACATGATCAGCCTCTATGGAACCACAATATTCCCGTACCTCGCTAAAGGCTGCCATGCCATTGTAAATGCACTTTATCAAAGTGTTATTGACCACCTGGACCCCTCTGTGTAGCACGAGCACCGGACACAGGGAGGCTGGATGATAAAGCTAGCTATTGTTACGCCTCAGGTTGTGGCTCCTGGTGGGAAAAAAGGGACTTGGGAGGGATCTGCGAGAGTCGCCGGCGTTCTCTCACAAAGCTCAACAGATTCCATCTACGGCTGACAAAGTCAGCATTTCCCTCATTTGTGGAGAGCTATTCAACCACTTCCTGGTTTACATGATCCCAGCATGCCAAGGACAACCTGGATTGGCTGCAAGTTCACAGGGTCAGCATTCTGGTTAAACCGATATTCCGATCATCTGACAACAAAGAGAAGTACACCGTAACGTTTTGAAATGTATGCTGCCTGTCTAGAATTTAGCATTGTTAGCATACAGACAAACAAGCGTTCACTTACACATAGTAGCTCTTTTGGTTAACAAAATCTCCATCTGCCATACAAACACACTTTTGGTTTTCGGTTGCTGCTTCGGTGTGTGTGTGTGTGTGTGTGAGAGCTGACCACCAGTCAGGCTTATCCACACTCCCTAACTGGCCAGACATCATGCTAATCTCATCTGGTCGTCACGACTTTACAGAACCTCCAGTGTTGAGGAGGACGACGTTCTCCCGCTGTGACACATGCAGAGAAATTAAACACACAGGTCACTCAGCTCAACAACCTCCCGCTCTCACACTCCCTCCCCGACTCCGCTGACAGCTGGCCCCGGCCTGCTATGACCACAGGGCAGGGGGGGGGGGGGGGGGGGAAGTAGGGCCCAGTGCAGTGTGCCACCATGTACGCACATAAATACACAGTGGTGTTCAGAGTAAGGTCAGTTACAGAAACATCAAAACTGTGTCTAGCGGTAGATCAACCCTGAGTGATCCAGCTTCAGACATCGCCGCAAGTCCAAATGATGAGGAGCCAGGCTGTAACAGCTAATTGTTTCTCTCTCAATGTGTACTTGTTTACACTTCACTCTCTCTTTCTATTTAAGCTCCCAATTTAACAGGGTACAGCAGTCACAATTCTCCAGTGGGCAGCGCGGCTCGGCTGCGTCGCTTCTCGAGATTCGAGGCCTCTATCAATTCTTTCTGCGTGCCGTGTGGCCGATGGTGAACATGATCTTTTGACAGTACATCGACATCCCACCAGCAACATTACTACACTTTCAATGTGTGTATCTGCAGCACATGTCACAGACAGGAAAAAAAGTTATTATCTATTTTTAACTCAACACTTCCTGTTTTTGTTCCAAAATAAAAAGCCCTGCAGCATCTTTCTGTGCACAGAATCCCTTTATTTGTTAATGCGAGGCTTTTATTCTGAAATATTTACAGGACAGATAAATTAATAGAGTTCTGGATTGTTAAAAAATAGCACATAACCTTTTTCTTTCTAAAATAGATATAAATGACATTTATGATGAAATTTAATTATTGACGGACATTATGAAAGAAACTATGTAGAAAGAAGGGCTGGCCGTCTGAGCGGACACCACACGGGTGCGAGCTGCAGCTGCTCAGCGAGGTAGCCGTCACGCAGACAAGTGCGTCCCGTACATTCTCCAACAAAAACACTAAGTGTGGGACAGACGATGATGTACGGCGTGCTGACCTGGAAAGACCTAAGATGTTAGAAACAATGCATCACATCCAAACAAATGGCTGGCTGGCAAAACACATTCTCCAAATTCGACTTACTGCACAACACCAACCACAAAAACCCACCTCAAGACATAAAGATGTAATCTCTGTGCATGCGTTATTAAAAAGATTATCAATTTGGGATTGTTTGATTTCATGATCACGTCTTTGATTCAGGACAGGCGGATCACACGCAACTGCCAAAGTGTCTGGCAGACAAACTCATAAGAAGTCAGATTTACCAATGTGTGGCTCAGTGCTGGTGGTCATTTCCACCACACGTCCAATTCTTCTCACTGAACCTCTGCCAGAGCTCCCTATCTCAGCCAAACCTGACATGGCATGTTTACCAGGGGTAAAAGATAATGTCAACAACTAAATCCATCTGGATTGATATTAATTCATGTAACAAAGCCACAAAACTATGATAGAGGACTAAACCAATAGGCTAGATTAAACACATTGAATGAGGCTGTTTTTTACTGTTAAAGTGCAGATGTTTAGATTCTCAGGTTAGCTTTAAAAGGTAGGAGCAAATATAGAACACAAAAAGTAAATAATAATAATAATAATGCCATTTATTCAGCACAAACTCTACAGTCCTATTTGCCCCATCGCTATCATCACAGAGGGCATTGTTTGTCCTAAAGGGGTAAAGTAACTCATGTGGACTCATGTGTATTTTAGAAACACATTTCTGGACACTGCTGGTGCTTCACATTCAGCTTCATCCCGATTTAAAGGTGTTTGTACTCAGCACCAAAAGAGCAGTTCTGTTTGGGACGACAACGCATCTCTCAGCTTTGATTCTCACCAGGCAGGATGTAGGATTGTTAAACTATATAGCTAAAGGTTGCATGTATCCCGTTCACTTCTGGTTTAACTGTTGCTTGTGCGAGTCAGAGCTGGAAGGCCGAAGAGTAGGGGGAGCGGAGTCGGGCTAGCTGAGAGGGAGAACACAGTCTGATTACTAGCTGCATGCTGACTCAGGAGCTCCACTAAACCAGCCACATGAGAAATGTCTTTCATCTCTGAGCCAGGAGCCCACAGGCCCCGTCCACAACACAGCACACACACAGCAAGATCTAGTTCCCTACATCTACATCTGACACATAACTGGTGACTATGTCTCGCCTTGGCCTTAGTAGAAACACCACAGCCAAACAGATTATCTATAAATTGCTTTTCTGGAGAGGAAAAATAAATCATCAGCCATCACTCCGAGGGCAGGTGGTTTACTGAAGCACACAGCGGCTATTAACCTGTTATTGTGGCCTGTAATTTATACATGGAATTCAAGTGAGTGTTTTGTAAATATCGGGCCCATATGTCAGCGTGCAGCGCCAACATACAGTATGAAACACCCCGACTCCAACAAGAACGGCCTGTCCTCGCTGAGCTCGTTTACCCAGGGATCAGTGTGTCTGTACTGTTCCTGCTGCAGAGATGGATTCACAGTGACGTAACAGAAAAATACCAAACAGTGGTGTCATACATCTGAACTTACTGGCAAAATACACAGGTAGGCCTAAACATAGCAACCGTTGCTATGACAAGGTGTGTTAGGAAACCCCTGGCAATGCTTGGGAAAGTGACTATCCAACTGGAGCTCTTTGTCTGCAGAAGCTTTTGCAATGTGCAGGGCAAGTGAGCCACAGATGACAGTTACATTAATGTACAACACGCTTTGTGGGGGAGACGACCATCCGCAGACACTGTATGAGTTCTCACACTTTCTCTCACACACACACACACACACACACACACACACACACACACACACACACAC